CTGAGATAGAAGCTCAAAGAGATTTTCTAAATAGTTTAACAGAATTTTCAAGTGAAGCCAATGCTTTCAGGTACTAGGAGATATTATGGAGTTCACGAACATATGTAAGATTTGAATATAAGTTATTCCTATGGAGATTCTTCCCACAATTCGAGTTCGAGTAATAGATTGGGGAGACATGAGTGGGACCAACCAAATGTATATCATCATCCCTATTACTGGGTATATCGAACGGGTTCATTTAGAGAAGGATATTCATACTATGATCGATCATAAGATGGAAATGGTTTTGAAGCTCCACGACACTCCACAAGGTATTGAATGGTAAGTATAAATGTTTAACATAAACATAGTTTAAATATTTTATAAAATTTTATTTCTAATATTTATTTATATGTAATAACTTGAGGTTGCTTGAATTTAATTTAACTAATAAAGATTGTTTAATTTCAGGGGACGGCCAGAACGGTGGAAATTTGGTGTTGGGTTTCAATGTAACAATCTTAGGCTTTGGAATATTTATTTAGATGAAAGTCAGTTGCTATTTTTTTGTTCAAAAATCTGACATTTAACATTCATGTTGTTGGTCTTTTATGCAGTGCATCTTTGAAGACTTATGCACATGATGGGACTTCAGACCGTCTATAAAGAGTCTTTGTTATAGTTATTCATTAGCATGGAGATATATGCATTGTTATGTTGGGATGGAGATATTTGCATTGTTATGTTTTTGACATATTCTAGGATTTATGGAGTGCATGTGGTATTGTCTAATATTTTATCATATACAGTGGAATTGCAGACAGAATTTCTTCATCAGTTCGAGAGGTTAACAGTTTGAGGCATGCACCCGCCGTGGTTATGTTCTTTAATATTATATATTTTAAAAAATGATTATGTTTATGATTTGATGAATTTTAATTGCTTATTATTATTTTTGTTAAAAATACAAATTTTTGTAAAAAATAATTATATAGGCCGATATTTGCCCGATACGCCGCGACCGATACGCCACGACGTATCTGGAACGGTTAGAGCCGATCCGCGACGCCGAACCATGGTAGCAACAACCCCTCGGACAGCAGACAAATCCAATTCTGAGAGTTTCCCAAGGTCCACCACAGTTTGTTGTAGGGCGTACTGTGGCTGGGCAGCAGGCAGACCCTCTTGCCGAGCCTCTCCAAGTCGACCGTCAAGCCATCGCGGAAGTCGTGCGATAGTTGTATGGCGATCCACTGCGCATATATGTTCGGCAGCATTATCGACGTTCTTTTCCTGATCATATAGTGGATGAACACTCTTTGTCAAGGAATGCGCGTATTCTAAAATTTAAATTACTTTTCGGCGAGGATGCTCGATCAATGATAGAGCACGTTAGCCACTCCACCGCGCAAAACGGCGGTGAGTTTGGAAGCAGCAATTGGTTCAAATTATAATTATTTTCTCTATCCTTAACAGGCCTTGCATTTAGCTGGTATGTCACGCTGCGTCCAATTTTATTTGTTTATGGGCCGAGTTGGAAAGGGCCTTTCGTTAGAGATTATAGTCTCAGACTTTACAAGTATGCGGCAGAGGGTTGATGAGTCCGTAGAGTAGTTTTTGAATGTTTCAAACATGCTCAGGGTAAAAACCGCAATCGATAATATGTGCCCTATTTACGGGAGAAATTGGGAGAAACATGCATTGCAAAAATATTATGATCTTGTCAATTGATGTCAAAGGCATTAAAGGCTGAACAGCTGCATCACGAAACACAAGCTTCTCGATAGTAGCGTGCACATCAAGCATCCAACTTTATTCAAGAAAAGGACAATGAACCACCTTCCGATAAGGATACCTACGACGAATGCCTTGCTAAATTCACGCAAGAAAAAACGTATACATGGCCCACTTCAAAAGCCTCGAAGAAAAAATAAGTCACTCCTAAAGGGCAATACACGTTCGATATTGCAAAATCGGAAAAAAAATTCAAATATTTAATGAAGGAAAAACAACTTCGGCTAAAGGAATGACATAGGATTCCATCTGAGGAAGATTTTTTTGTAAATGACTTGAATTTTCGGCCACAAAATTGGAAATTGTATCGCGTTTCAAAATGCAGTGCAAAAGGTAATTAAGGAAGGATGATTACATATTATTGATCGGAATAGAAAGATATATGTATCATGGAAACAACATTTGGCTCAGAGCTATCTCCCGCTACATCGATTCATTCCCAAAGCTAATTTATGGTCACTCAGAGCCACAATCCCAATCCCACCGTTATGTGCTGTAATCTATTCTTAGTTCAACCCTCTAACACCTTTTCCTCGTCCATAGCTCCAATTCAAGAAAAACAAATCAAAATCAAGCAAAACTAGCAAGGTTGGCTCAAAAACCCTACTCACTAACACAAACAAGAGAAAAAGGAGGACTAGGGAGGAGGCTCGGAAATCCTAATCTATTGTAAATCGCAACGCTATTATTTATTTATTTGTCTTCGCTTTTTTTTATTTTTATATACTATTAAAAAGATGTTTCTAGAACTGCGTAAACTGTTACTGTCAAATTCTTCAACTTCCACCAAATCCTTCAACTTCCACTAATGAAATAATAACACGTGGCTGAAAGATATATATATTTTATTATTATTATTATTCTATTAAAAATGTGTTTCTAGAAGAACATCTATCTACCGTAAATTCCACCCATTTTCATTAATGAAAAATTGATATGTCCAACAAAAAAATTATAAATAAAACTTAAATTTATCTATCAATTATTATTAATTTATTTTTCTTTCACATATAAATAAAAATGAAAATAATACCCAAACTTAAATTTTATTCAGTTATTTTCTATTTTCTATTTTATTTTATTACTTTATATATATATAGAGAGAATATGTTTGGTTTGTATTTCAGACACAAATATAAAATTTAGCTTTCACGATGTTCTATAATAACATATTATTTTTTTCATAAAATATCAAATTAAAATATTATTTAAATAAAAACTGAAATCAAGTGACCACCCTCAATTAAAAATTAAACAAACTCATTAATTTTACAAAATATTTAATTCAAATGTTGTTTTATATGAAAATAGACACATCCCTTTCTCACTCCTATAAACGCAATAGGAATTCATCCTAAGAAGCAGCAACATACCTGTTCAAATTATATTATTTTGAAAATTAATTTTACATTTAAATCATCACATCAACACCTATTTATATCACATCATACAACTATTCAAATTAAAAATTTTTACTATTCAAATCCCAACTTAAAATCCGAACCCCCAAACAAAAATGATAAAAAAATATATCTATTAATTTTTTATAATACATATAAAATAATATATGTAGAGTAAATTATATAAAATAAGAATATTTTTAATATTAAGTACAGTGACGTAAAAAAATAAATGAGATCCTCTTGAGAGAGGATAGTATTTAATTTCAGATAAATACTTCATTTCAAATTAATTTTAAATTACCGATCAAATATAACTAATTAAAATATTTTAATAGGGTATATATTTTAATTTATTTTTTTAAAATCATATGTACTCTCTCTATTTTGAAATAATTGACATTTTTCTTCAATGATACAATTTTTAAAATAATGTAATTTAATATATTAATAATAGAAGAGTAAGATCTTATCTTATTTATTACTTTCTATGTGATCCTCTTAGTATTTTTAAAATAAAAATTAATATATTTTTTTGTCCCTTAATAATTTCTCTATTATTTTATTTTGGTCTGTTTCATAATAAAATATTTATTTATTTTAAGTAAGTGTACTATATACTTAATATTACAAATATTATTTCAATTTACAATATATTATATAAATGTCATTACCTTTATATCATACCATACTAATAAATTTAGTTTAGTCTTTTTACCTTTATTTCTATTATATCTCAATATAATACTAATATTCCTAAAATTCCGTACAAAATATAAATTGATAGATAAATATGAGACGGAGGAAATATATGATTAAAATAAATTTAGAATATGTATTTATATATTTAAATATTTTATCTCAATAAAATATATTTCCTCCGTCCGGTGACAAAGTATAAATTTACTTTTAGTGCGGAGTTACAAAAATAATACTTCCTCCGTCGTTCAAATCTATTCTCACTTTCCTTTTTTGGTTATCATTTAAATTTATTCTCTTTTTTTTTTAGTAAAAGAATACCATTATTTTTTACCAAAAAGTAAAAATTTTTATTCTTACATATTTTTCTTAAAATCCGTGTCCGGTCAAATGAGCACATAATTGAATGACGGAAGAAGTAGTATTTTAATTGTAATTGGTAATTAAAAGTAGTGTAAATATAATTTTGTCCTTACTTTTTTTTTTATGTAAAAATAATGATTTGATGGTAAAGTAAAATTATTTGCGAAAAAATGTAAGGACTTGGTTATGAGATAACAAAAAATTACAAATATGTATTTTTCATTGATAGACGAAAGAAGTATATAATATAAATATAATTTGAGGATAAAATTTTATATAATAGAAATAAATAAAAAAAATTATTTATTTATCATTAAAATAAACTAATTTTATAAAAACATAAATATTTTTAAATATATGTAAAATATTTTTTTATTGAGATAATATAAAAATTAAAGAATTAAATAAATTTTGCATATAATATATTAAATTTAATTACATTAATTTATATTTATTAAATATATTTAAAATTGATAAATATTAACTATTGTATATTATAATAAGACAAATTAAATAAAAAAATATATCAACAAAACATAAAAATTATTATATCATAAATTTATATTAATTAAATAAAAAGATTATAATCAACTTAACTTCCAATTTAAAATTGAAACTAAACCACCCGTAATTAGTTATTAGTATTGGTCTGAACTGCAATCCAATGTGCTGCGTCGAGTAAATAAAGGCATTGATACGCTGTCGTTTTGAATCAAAGGCGTAGCGTAGCGTACCTCTTCGAAAATGAAAAACTGACTCAAAAACCCTAATTTGGATTGCGATATTTGTCGATTTGGGATTGGAATTCTCAACTCTGTGGGCCGTTTTCTGCAAACGAGTGGTTCTCAGCGCTCGTTGCTTGCCAAGCAATAAAAATCTACCAAGATTTCGCACAATCGTCTCCACTTGGATAGGTAATTTCGGTGGCGACTAGAGAATTTCGAGTCTTGTAAATTGGATAGTATATCGGCTCGATATTTTCCGCCATGAGAGCACTCCAAGCTTCCTCCTCGTACGGCGCCATCGCCGTTCCAATCGCTGCACCTCCCGCGCCTTCGCGTCGCCGCCGCGCTATTTCGGCTAAAAGTAACGTCAGAATTACCCCTCTTTTTGTTTCTTTTGCAATAAAATAATTCTTCTCATAGACTTTCGGAAGGGAAACAGTACAGAATTAATTGATTGAGCTCTATTGCAGCTGAACCGACGGAGAAATCAGTGGAAATAATGAGGAAATTCTCGGAGCAGTATGCGCGGAGGTCGGGCACTTATTTCTGCGTTGATAAAAGTGTGACATCCGTTGTTATCAAGGTATTCATTCCTTTCTTATTTGCTCGTTACATTTTCATGTTTCATTTTATCTGTTTCTTTGGTGGCAAACATCACTAACGAATTTTTTCTCTTGTGAAGTAAGAATTTGATTTAATTTTTGTCTACAAGTTTGGATTGAAAAAACATAAAAATGAAAATCATTAAGCTGAAGAAACAACTGAACATTTCCAACTCCTAAAGGAATAATATAGTTAATGTTCACTGTTCTAATTTTCTTGTTTGTTTATATGTTCTTGCCAAACAATTTGGGAATGTTGTTTAGTCATAGGCTAATCTGCAAAAAAATTCATTACTCGAAAGCAGCAAATGGATCGTGTTGTTTATGTATGTTTTCATTGTTACAGGGATTGGCAGAACACAAGGATACATTGGGGGCACCCCTCTGCCCTTGTAGGTAATTATCATTCGGTAAAGTCTTCTGTTGTTTGGGAAATTCTTTTTCGACTCCTGTCTGCAAAACAAATGTTTTTTGTTTGGTTTTGGTTATAGGCACTATGATGATAAACCTGCCGAGGCACAGCAGGGTTTTTGGAACTGTCCCTGTGTTCCTATGAGAGAGAGGTATGTAATGCCTGGTACCAAATGATGTTGCTTTTTTCCATGTCTTATTGGTTTGGAAGATCACATTGATCGTTCCTTGCATTCTTTCTCAAGAAATTGGGACATTAGTCGTTTGATGTAATGCCTGTTACCGAATGATGTTGCTTTTTTCCATGTCTTATTGGTAAGGAAGATCACCTTGATCATTTCTTGCATTCTTGCTTGAGAAATTGGGATATTACTATTAGTCATTAGATGAAACGTCTGGTACCGCATGATGTTGCTTTTTTCCATGTCTAATTGTGTTGGAAGTTCATATTGATCGATTATTGCATTCTTGCTTGAGGAATTGGATATTAGTCGTTAGATTTGATGGGTGACAGTATAATAGATATGTATGCGTGTGCTGTGCTGTCTCTTTTTGTGCTGATTTTTTAGTTGCGGCAATTCTTGTAACCTTCATCTTTCGAAAGGCCATTTTTTGTAAGACCAAGTTCTAGATATGCGTTCAATGAACAACAAATTTCAATCTTAAGTCTCAAAAAGAGTTGTTTGTTGATTTGATCACTCATTGACAATAATCTTATGTTCTTGGTTTGCTTTGTTTGTTTTTTTGCCTCGGCAGGAAGGAATGCCACTGCATGCTTTTTCTAACACCCGACAATGACTTTGCCGGCCAAGAACAGGTAATGTCGAATGCCTATCTCTTCCAAACACCCATCATGTAAAGAAATCTTTGTATATGATATCCGGGCATTGTGTTTGTTCGATCAAAATCTTTACTTACCGTTGGGTCGAGTGCCGTGTGCAGGGCATTACAATGGAAGAGATCAGAGAAACAACAGCAAGTATGTGAGGGGGGAAATGATCCATCCGCCATTGTTGACAGTGCAGTGTTTTTTTGTATGTCTTTAAAGTGGCTTTGTATCAAATATCACTCATTACTACTACCACTCTATTGCAAATAATACAGTGTTACTAAACTTACCAAATCCCTTGATGAATTTTTCAATGTTTTTAAAAGAATATCAAAATAAAGAGACAAATGTTCGCATGTAGCATCATCCATTATCATTTTGGTCCCTTGTAAATTTTTTTTTACAAAATTGGGAAAGATTTATCTGATACATATGTAGCAATTTTTATTAGTTGTTAATGTTAATTCATATGGTTTTGAAGTTGTTAGGGACCTTTTCAACAAGTATATATTAACTTAGTGAGATATTGAATCAACCGGTCTGGGTGGTGTAGTTGGTTATCACGCTAGTCTCACACACTAGAGGTCCCCGGTTCGAACCCGGGCTCAGACATTATCTCTTTTTAATTTTTATTTTTTTTCTAAATTTTCCTACAATTGTGATCGTTATCCAAACAAATGAACTAGGGATGTCAAATGGGGCGGGTCAGACTCGAATCCGCTTTTAATGGGGCGGGTTCGGGTCTAAATAATATGTTTCGGAGCGGGTTGTAGACTTAAAATTTTAAATCCGGCCGAGTTCGAGGCGGGTTACAGGTTTTACTAAAAACCCGCCCCAATTCGGATCCCGATTCGGACCCGAACCCGGATATTTTTTAAAATTATTATAACTAATATATATGTACATTTATATGATAAAAATATATCATTTATTTACTTAAACAATTTTAAATATAAATTTCAATTAGTCGCCTGCTCCAAATAATTTTTTAAAATTATTATACCTAATATATGTATATTTATATAATAAAAATATATTATTTATTTATTTATCTTATTTTTATGGATCAATATTTGATTCTTTTTAGATTTTTTTTGTGCTTTTAATGCTATTTGTTTTAGTATTCAATTGTTAAAAAAAGATTTATTATTATATATTTAAAAAAAAAAACGGGTTTGTCTGATTGGCCCCGAACCCTCCGTGTTCGGGGCAAGACGGGTCCTGAAGCCGGATGAAAGCGGGATGGGGCGGATCTCAAAGCCTAATATTTTATAGCAGGGCGGGTCTCGGGCCTTCAGAATCCATCCCGAACCCCCCCCCCCCCCCCCCGTTGAGATCCCTAGAATCAAATTACCCAAGTAACATCGAAAGTATTTATTTATTAATAGAGAGTTTGACCGGCTGCGTTTTTAATAAATTTAATTCATATATATATGTATGTGCAATTATTTCAGTTGATTAAATATGCCTTGGAAAAGATTACGTGCATGCATGGGTGGTTGGTCATACTCATTGTTGCCGCTGCTATTTATCTATTTATTTATTACTTGATTATTTGTTATAATCTGTGCTGTGCTAATTAACAGATTTTCTTAATATTTTATTTCAAAATTTTGTGTTGATTATTTGGGAAACAGAACCACAAACAGAAAATTGTGAGTGATTATGAATTTCATTAATCAGTTTAATCATTTAAAAAAATAAAACAGTGGATGTGGTAATATAAAAAATATTCAAATTAGCGTATTTAGAAACCTATTTTATAATATTAAATATCCATTTTTAATTATTTTTTATATATATAAAAAAAAACATGTCTATAACACATAAGAATTTCTGTTGTAAATTTTATGAGAAAAATTAATACATTAATAAATAAATATAATACATATTAATATTTTATACTCTCTCCAGTCAGCCTCTAAGGTCATATTTACCTTTTGCGTCATTTTATTAATATTAAAAATATCTTTATAAATGTTCTTCTATTAATATTATAAGACGTTAAATATTTTTGTAATTTTTTTTTAATTTGTACTATATTGAAAATAATAATTAATATTCAAACATCATCATATTATCTAATATTTAATTATGTATGGATTGGATCAATGCTAATAAATTCCCAATAACGGCTTAGTGATTTTATATATATATATATATATATTTCCATGCAGGAATTGAAATACGAAAAGGCTAAATCTCAACTTGAAGTGATCTAAAAATTATGAAGGTGACAGTGACAAGCCGGCTTCTAGTGAAGCCAGCCGAGCCGACGTATTCCGGCTTCATACCCTTATCCGACTTGGACCTCGTCGGCAGCCTCGCCCACGTCCCCACCGTCCATTTCTACGATCCGCCGCCGCCGGAATTCCGTACTTCCGTCTTCCAAACCCTCAAAGCCTCCTTGTCCAAATCCCTCGTCGCCTTCTACCCCCTCGCCGGTCGTCTCAGCCGCGCCGACCGCCCCGGCCGCTACCAGATCCACTGCAATGCCGCCGGCATCCTCCTTGCGGAGGCGGAATCCGCCTCCGCCGTTAAGGACCTGGCGGATTCCGACCTCCGACCGCTCGTCCCCTCCGTGGACTTCAAGACGACGGCGGCGGCAGAGTACCCGCTGCTGGTTGCGCAGGTCACCAGGTTCGCCTGCGGCGGCGTCTCCGTCGGAGTTGCCATGTCGCATGCGGTGGTGGATGGAATCGCTGCCGCTAATTTTATACGGCAGTGGGCCAGAGTTTCGAGAGGAGAGGCGATGGAGATGGCGCCGTTCGTCGATCGGAAAGTGCTCGTCAATTTGGGGAATGTGCAGTCGCCGGTGAGGCCAGTGGAGTTCGACGATTTGTTTGATGAGAAATTAGAGGCCAAAACTATTATTACTTCCTCGCCGCCGCCGCCCTCTTGCAAAAGAGCTACCTTTAAGATCACACAATCTCAGGTGCCTAACATTTTTAAAGCAGTTAAGAAGAGTTAAAAATATAAAAGAAAAACAACAAATATAAGATTTTCCTTTATGATTATTTATTTTCCTTTAATAAAAAAGGGAATGTTTTTTTGTAACAGAGGGTGTGTTTATTTGTGTTTTAATTTAAAATATATATATTTTTTAAATATAAGTTATGAGACATTAGTAATATAAAAATTATAAGAAAATATAGTATATATATTTTTTTAAAAAATATTATATTTTATATTTATATAATTTTACTATTACATTTTATTTTAGTAAAACATACTTCCACCGTCGTTCAAATATGTGCTCATTTGATCAGACACAAATTTTAATAAAAGTGAATAATAATTGTTAATTTTTCCTTTTGCATTAAAAAGCAGTACAAAAATGGAATAATTTTTTTACTTAAAAATATTTTTTGATGTCAATCTAAAAAGAAAAATGAGCATATACATATTTGAGTGAATATATTTATACTATTAAATGTTATCAATGATTATTAATAAAATTTTAATATTTTTTTAGTTGAATGCCAAAAGCAAATATATATTTTTAGAGGTAGAGGAAAATAATATAAGAAATAACAAATACATATATATCTATAATATTTTTATTTCAAAAATAATTTTGTATGGAGTATTACAGTATTTAATATAAAATGATTATATTTATTTATTTTTTTATTAGGAGACAACAATTATAGTATTTTTTGTTTTGAATTTCTTTTTAATGAAGAAGACTTTTTTTCATTTTTTTTTTTCTTTTTCTTTTATGCGTTAGATAATACAAAATAAAAATAATCAATGCATTTTATTGCTCAGTTTCTTTTTTTGCTTTCTATCATCATTAGAAACAAAGGACTAATAATTTGTATAAATTCTATATATTTGTACATTAATCTATTATAACAATTACTTATATTTTGCGATACATATAAAAAATTATTTATATTTATTTCTCCAGAAAAAATATCTAAATTAATTTTTCTATAATATTTATTAATATTCAATTGTTCTTGTGTAAAAAAAATAAAAATTAATTATATAAGATGTACCTTAACATTACTTTTTTATTAGTGACTTTATAATTATTTGTATATATTTTTAGAGTATATTTTACCCTGAAAGCTATAATATATATTTCTTTTGATGTTAAAAATATTTTAATGGTTCATTTGTTATTTCAAAAAATTATAATAAAAATATAATGTTTTCTTATATATTTACTTCGTAATAATTTCACAAGAGCCTAGAATATAATAATAATAATAATAATAATAATAATAATAATAATAATGTTTGCATGCAGGTCGAAGCTTTGAGAAGCAAAGCTAACGAGGGACGAGTGAATTCACCGTTGACTCGTTTCGAGGCCATAGCAGCGCACATATGGCGGTGCGCCGCCAGGGCCTGGGCCGGCGACGGCGGCAAGGAGATTCGCCTCGGAATGTCTGTTGAATTTCGGAGTCGTATCGGGCTGCCCAAGTCCTATCTGGGCAACGCCGTGCTGGACGTGGTAGCCTGCTGCGCCTCCGGGCAGCTGGTGTCGCAGCCGCTGGGGCAGGCGGCGGGGAAGCTCCGGGAAGCTCTGAAGAAGGTAGACGGTGAGTACCTGGAGAACACGTGCGGTTTTCTCAAGGGGGTCCAGGATTTGAGCTGCTTCCAAGACCAGGAGCAGGAGCAGATGAGTCGGCGGAAAGTGCTGGTGACGAGCTGGCTGACGCTGGAGCTGGAGGGCGTGGACTTCGGGTGGGGGAAGGAGGCTTCCGTAGTCCCGGTTGAGTACGGACATGCAGGGGAGTGCTTGATTCAGAACGATAAAGCGAGATCTGGATCTGTTGTTGTGGTTGTCTGCCTTCAGGACAGTCATATTCAACCTTTTACCGACTTCTTCCTTCAATATTAATCTAATCTTATCCTCTTATTGGATTTCAATTCAATAAAATTATGGAGCATTATCATGTTTTGGGTAACAATTGCAAACCAAACAGACCCTTAAGGAAAATGATAGTATTACTATTATATACCCCTTCCTCCATGGTAAAAATTCTATTATTATCACTAGAAAGCTTCAAGACTACCAAGTGCTATTGCCTTTTCATGTTGGATCGCAATCAGGACTACGGCTACAGTGCTGAGTTTTAAAATTCAGCAATGTGTTGACAACGCACCACAACACACGGTATGTTGTTAGATAACACACGGTGTTATTGCCGACACCACACCGTCATATAATACAAATACAGCACATACTATAGTTTATACAGCACAATCAATATTTGATTTCAACACACCATGTACTGTTATACAATATATTTGTAAGTATGAACCAACAATACAAATATAACACATGAACTGACAACACATGTTATAGTCTTATATAGCACAAATACTAAGGGCATCTCCAACCTAGCGCCATTAATGGCGCTGGGTTGGATCCAACCCAGCGCCATTAATGGCGCTGGGTTGGATCCAACCGACGCCAAATCCAATGCCAAAAAATGATTTGGATGCTACAGTGCAATGCCAAAAAATGGCGTTGCTTCCTTCTTTTTTTAATTTTTTTTTTCTAAATTTAAAAAAAATTATTTTAAATTATAAAAATAAAAAGTTGTTTAAAATAATAGGAAAAATTGAATATTTGAAAAATTATAGTGAAAAATAGAGTTATGGTTGGAGAAATTACCGTAGCACTTTATAAATGGAGTTGATGGGTTGAAGATGACCTAATTGATTTCAACACACCACTGTTATACAACACGCTATAATTATATAAATAAACAACATCATAATAAGACTGTGTGTTGTTTGTATATATATTACGGATGTTGATTTAAAAAATCAATACGGTTCTAATTTTTTAATTCAGCACCCTAATCGTTCTCATATTAAATAAGATCATCCAAGATGGAAATTAAGAGTGAGGAGTAATAACCTCTACGCTCGCGAATCCTTCTTAACTTGCACTTTGAAATTGCAACCGATTAAGAGATTGACGAGAATCTTCAAACAAGTTCTGAGCATTGCCAGTAATCAAATACAATTATATACGTATACCTGTATATATTATACAGGGCTGTCTCAGATATTTTCAAGGCTTCGAGCAAAAAAATAAATATTAGACTCCATAAATATATATATATATGTGTGTGTGTGTGTTTGCTGGTATGAAGTTGATTGGGGGGCCTAGTTTGCGATACATATCGACTATTATAACATTTCACACTATCTAGAATATTAAAACCAATAATTCAATAATAATAACTATAAATTCTAAAGGCAAAGAATATATGATTAATTTTTTAAAAAAATTGGTTAGAATTTATTAAAATTATAATTGGATTTGAGATTAATTTTAGAAAAATTATAGTTAGAGTTTATTAAAATTAGAACGGCATTAAATAATTGTTAAAAAAAAATGAGATAAAATTTAAATTAAAGTTTAATAATTAATATATCTAATAATAATAATGCACTCTAAAAATATTTATAAATTCTAAAGGTGAGGAAGATAGATTTAATTTTAGAAAATTTAGGTTATAAATTAATTCTAGAATTAAAAATTAGATTGGATAATAGTTAGAAAAATAAAGGATAAAATTTAAATTAAATTATAATATATCTCATAATCGTAAAATCAAATAAAAAATATGCGTCCTATCGAAGTAGAGGCTCTGAGCAATTGCTCAGATTGCTCCAGCCGAATATATATATAGATATGGAAACGGAGACCTCCAAAGCCGTGGAAACAACAGGAATAGCAGAGTCGGGCATACTTCCTTCAGTGCATGATTTCATGGCAGAAACGCTACACACAACCACGCATCTGGAAAACCATCGTGAGGATGTCAGAAGGAGACACCGAACTTGGAAAACCATTCTGAGCAGTGACAGAACTAGGTTTCGAGGTTAGGAAGGACGAAATTATGTAGTCGGTTTTGATCTTTTATGGTATTATTTGGGTTTTAATATATTTTAAATTGTTAACCGTTGATATTAGTCCAAATTGGCGGTTCAATTTTTTTATATAAAAATTTATTTCGATAATATAAAAAAAATAATATTTTGTGTTAAATATTGACTTTTCTAAATTAATAGAATATATTATAGATATTAAAAATGATGTAACAAGGGAAAAAATAATATATAAATTTTATTTTTTAAAAACTAAAAAAAGAATATTTTCCGTCTATGAACATGAGGATGTCAAAAGGAGACACCGAGATAAAAACGGCATACTCGGAATACCAAGGAACATATCAGTCTCTCCAAGATTTTTAATAGTAAACTCCTGATGAAGGAATTCCTTGACTGTTTTGATTTCCATAAAGTCAGTTCCGGTGAGAAGAATGTCATCGATATCACCAACAAGGCAATAAAGCAAAGACCACGATATAGTGTGAGCAAACGGTGATCATATGTGGATTGTTGAAAGTCATAACAATCTTGGCATCAAATTGCTTGTACTATTACCTAGGAGCTTGCTTGAGTCCACAGAGGGATTTTTTCAGCTTGCATACTTTCTTTGGAGGTATGTGACTTCCTTGGGTGGTGTCATATAAATTTCCTCTTTAATGCAGCAATGCAGGAATGCATTATTCACGTCAAGTTTGTGAACTTTCCAATGCTTGGTGGAAGCTATTGCCAAGAACATCTTCATTGTCACACTTTTAGTAACCGGTGCAAATGATTCTGTATAATCTTTCATTGGAATCTGTAAGTATCCTTTGGCGACAAGCCGAGCTTTGAATTTTCGCACTCCTTCATCAACATTTATTTTAATTCTATACACCCATATACATAAGATATGCTTTGCTCATTTGGGCAAGGTAGTGACCTCCCACGTATTGTTCCTGTGTAAAGCTTCAAAATCTTCCTCCATTGCAGCTCTCTAAGCAGCATCTTTGTGAGCTTGAACATAGGATGTTGATTCTTGCATATCAATAGAAAAAACACTATGCCAAATACATAAAGATGATGGGTTATAGTTGAAAAGCGAGATGGTAAGAGGGCTGACATAATTTGTCATCCAAGTCGATTTTTCAGTAATTTGGTTGGAACAGATAGGAAAGGACTAAAGGCCGGATCATGTCTTGTGTTTATTGAGTGGATGTAGGGTTAGATATGGGAGTTTTGGCTTTGGAATCAAGGCAAAATGATGATGTGTTTGGGTGGATGAGTGATGAAGATGGTGTAATAGATGGCAGTTTTTGAGGTTCTGTGTTTTGGATGATAGTTGGATTGGGTGTTGGTTGCAAAATGGGTGTGCCTAGTAGGTAATTGGAGGGAGGCTGGTTTGGATATGCCAGGTCAGTGTTAGGTGGTGTAGGAAGTGCGGGATTAACATAAGATTGGTAAGAAACTCATTTTTATAGAAGACAACGTCTCTAACAGTAAGACACTTCTTGCTTTATATATCATATAGCTTAAAACCCTTTTGGCCAACTGGGAAACCACGAAACAAACACTTGTAGGCTCTTGAATTAAGTTTGATTTTAGTAGATTTATTATTGACAACATAACATAAGCATCCAAATACTTTGAAATTGGATAGATAAGGTGTGGTGAAGTAAAGTTTTTCATAAAAAGTAGACCAGCCACATAATATGGTAGTCTGTTAAGGATGTAGGTAACATGTAAGAGGGCTTCACCCCAAAATCTTGAGGGCAAGTTTGCATGAAATAGCAAGGTTCTGGTTAATTGAAGAAAGTGTTTATGTTTTTATCTCAACTCTACCATTTTGTTGTGGATTGTAAGGGCATGAATGGTGATACTCAATGCAAAATCTTTGATATATCAGTTTACAGTGTTGGTTTAGGAATTCAGTACAATTATTGGTCCTGATTCTTTTAATGGTGTGATTGAAATGTGTTTGGATATAGAGGATAAAGTTTTCAATAATTCAAAAAATATTTTGCTTGTTTGGTATGAGATATGTCCAAGTAGCTCGTTAGTGGTTATTCATAACGGTTAAGAAATAGTGACATCCACTCATGATGAGTGTTATGTAAAATCTCCATAAATTCATATGCACAAGTTCAAAATTACATGTAGCATAAAATTCATTGCCAAACCTTCTATGCCAAAGTAGTGATTCTTTTGTTGATGTGATGTGAGGGCTGAGGTAAATTCATTGGTAGGGAAGACCTCTTTAGTTAAAATGTAAAGGTTGTTTTCTTATTTTCCAATTGCCAAAAGTTTTTTATAGCTCGGGTCCTGAATTTCACAAATGTCAGGTGAGTTTGCAGATAGACTATTAAGTATTAATAAAGCACTTATGGATAGGAGATTGTATTTAAAGGCAACCATATAGTATACTATTTTAAATATGATATGCATATATGACAAGTAGCTCCACTGTCAATTAACTAAGAATCGTTATCCAAATATGCAAAGTTAAAAAAGAGTGTACTACCTGAAAATTCAATATTTAGTTGGTACAAGCAAACGGTGAATATGAGGATTTTTCATTTGAAGCTTATGCACTTCATTTTTCACCAAGGGAGTAATAATTAATTTCAATTAATTGAAACAATTCTATTAATTAATTTATTGACTATGATACATTACTAACTCACCAAAAATCAATTTTGAGATTTTTGTTAACTTAAATTGATTATTACAATCAAAATTCCAAAGTACAGTTTTTTCTCTACTACTATAGTACTTATTTATCATTTACTTGTAATATTTTGTACTTGATTTTACAATTTCAATTTTTTTCATTCAAAATATCAAACAAAAATATTTATTTTTATTTATTATAGTATATTAAAATTTAATTTTATATTCTAAATAACACATCAATTTATAATTATATCATATCAAATAACTATTTTAATTTAAAATTTTCTTATTTAAAAACAAAATTTAAAACTAAAATCTTACAAATAAATACACCGAAAT